GCCTCATATTCAACATTATTTTTCCGCTTGAAGGTCTGGATAGCATTTGAAAGATCTTGAGGCAAAAAGAAAACATCCGGATATTGCTTTACTAACATTTGATATTGTGTTCTCATATTGATATTTCCGACTTCGGTCCAAAATTTGATATCTTTTAGCATGCCCTCAGAAAATTCCTGGTATTTCATAGCAAACTTGTTAGTTTCATCCCTTATTTGGTGATCATTATGATTCAAACAGACTGAATTAATCCTCAATACACCTGTCGTGATAGGACAACTAGCACGAATTTGCCAGCGACACCTAGTGCGTTTACTTCGTGTCTGTTGTTGATCTTCAGCAATGCTAGTTTTGTTCATACCACTATGACCCTGGTGCTCACAAGCATATCGGCGGCTTCGACAAATCCCGTTACTGTATTCTGACCCACGTATAACACTCACAAAATTTTGTGATTTTGCATAGAAAGATATGAAACGGTCAAGTTCATTCCAACTTCCAAATATTTGCCCAGCTGCTGGTTCATTCATTATGTTAGCCGAATCCTCATTACTTTTATTGAAACTTGATTAGAATTTATTTGAAACGGCTTTAAACCAAAGTAATTCAAAACTTGACTTACTATAATTCATTACAATCAAGTTCACTAACTATTATAGCTGAATCCTCATTACTATTATTGGATTTAATTAAAATATGTTTAAAACGGCTTTGAAACGGCTTTAAACCAAAGTAATTCAAAACTTGACTTACTATAATTCATTACAATCAAGTTCATTCCAATTGCCAGCTGTTTGTCCAACTCCTGGTTCACCAACTATTATAGCCGAATCCTCATTACTATTATTGAATTTAATTAAAATATGATTAAAACTACTTTGAACCAAAAGTAACTTAAGAAGTCTTGACTTACTATAATTCAACAAAATCAAGTTCATCCCAACTGCCAACTGTTTGTTCATCCATTACAATAGCTAAATCTTTATTACTATTATTAAGTTTAGTTAGAATATATTTGAGACGGCTTTGAACCAAAAGCAATTCAAAAAAAGGCTTAGCTTACTGTAATTCAATACTTGAAAAGTGTTCTTCAGTGAGTTCAAAGTTGTCTTCGTTTTCCATTTTTATGAACACAGTTCTAACAATCCGATTTTTTTAAAACCAATTTTAGGTACCAAAAGAAAGGCGGATAAACAGGTAGTTTGTGGGTTATGGCTTATAAAAAGAAGTTACTTAAACTTTCTAACACGAGTGAAAGAATACAACTAAAGGAAATGATAATTAAAAAAAATCCGGCTAAATACTATTCAGCAGGAAACAACGAAATTGCATAACACAGTATGAGAAAACACACGAGCGGTTTAAAGGTTTAAAAAAACGGGTGTACAGTAAACTAGCCTTATAGGCCAAGTTAATGAGTAATACGTTTGGTGTTCAAGTGAAAGAATTTAATAAAATGTGATCAAACGTTCAAAGTAAGCTTAAAAAAATATTATCCAGTAAAACTATCCTGTATGTGCAAAGTTAAAATGTGATCGAACGTTTGAAGTAAGCTTTAAAAAAACGGTATCTAGTAAAACTAGCCTGTATGTGCAAAGTTAATGAATAATTCAGTTTGAGCTCAAGTGAAAGACTTTTGATAAAACATGATCAACGTGATCGAACGTTTTGTATTTGATTTCCAAACTCAGCAAACAATATCGATATTACTACTTTTGTATATAGTATCATTGTACAGATGCAACTTAATAACTTCGATATGCATCAAAATAATGGGTACAAAAATTATAGATATACCCTACGGGTACATCTATATTAACTCATATTATTATTACTATTATTATTATATGAACATTTCCAAAGAAAAAAGAAGACTTTAGGCTTTCTATTTTATCATTTAAATATTTATTAGAAACAATATATTGTTATAGAACAGTTTATTATTTTATTAGTTTATTATTCTGATATTGTATTTTATTATTTATTTTATTAT